ATCCCTTGTTTCGCGAACCCGCCGAATGAACAGGAGCCGAAAATGAAATAAAAAAAGGAATTATATTTCAGTGTAATTTCTCGCGCCCGCCGACTTGTAAGTGCATAACAAACCCAAGTTGCATTTTCGTGGGAGTATCATGATCAAAGTACCGAAGTCTCGCGCAGATGAGAAACAAGGTTATACATGGAATAAAATTTTATTTCATTTCTTCTCTCCGATCAATGATCTCACTTACAATTCTTTGAGAATCACACAAATCTAATGGAAAAAAAGAATTAATTTTATTTTTTTCCGCCCTCCTCAAAAAATTGCCTTATAAGAACTCGAGAAACAAGGAATAAAAAAAGCCTGGCCTGACATTTTCACTTTTAAGTTTAAGACGAGGTGGTTGTTTATAGGATTAAAAACCGGAAATAGCATACAACCCTGTCTCACGACAATCAAACTAATTTGACGTTCTTATTGAGTGCAAAGTAAAGACAACCTCATAAGGATTAGCTTGTATATAAAAAAAATAGTGATATACTAAGTCATCAAAAAGACAATAAAACGTCTCTCTTCTCTACTTCTCTAGGTAAATGCATGTAGTTCAGTTTTGTGATTATTGGAGAACCCGCCTGACAATCAGATACCAAATTTAATTGAATTCCGCCCATTTTGTCAACCTTGCATTAAAGATAGTGGTGTAGATCTTTCCCTAAACGGGGTAATTACAACCTTTAGAATCTACCTGACTTATAAATATATGAAAGTGAATAAAGTTATGATAAAAGGCATAACGACTACCACAAAAAAAGTTTAGAAATTCACCAGGGATTCCAATTAAACTTGGTAAAAAATTCTTCTTCCATTATTGGTTACTTTATGCCCTCAATAAAAACGTTTGTATTATGAATACAATTTATAATCTGTGTTAATGATCAATTATGAAATGCATTGACCAAGCTGTCATCCCTTCTTGTAAAGGTACATTCACATCGTATAAGGGTACTATCACATCATATAATGACATATTCACATCACATACATATGTTCATATCGTATAAAGGTATGCTCACATCATATGAAGGTATAAACAACTATTATATGCACATCGTATGTAGATGTATGCACAGAATATAATAAATTAAGTGGTCCACACAATATCTTACATGATATACAAGACAGTCATGGCTTTCCATAGTCTCACATGCAACACAGATCTCATCCTCATGCCCAAGGCCTCCATGACAAACTCATTCCGCTAGGGATGTCATCCTCATTGCACCTTCTCAGTCATCGGTCTGCACCGTGCATGCATAAAGGGCACTGCATAACTCCACCACTCACTTACCTGCATTCCAGTTCGCCAACAGTACATTTATCACACGGCAGTTAGCAACCACATATGTGACCTTCTTACGCACATATCAGTACGAGACTTTGACCTTTACACTACTACGCATGCTCAGTTGCCAAACTGCTGAACTCTCTGCATGATCTTTTGGTGAATGAACTTGTATGCCCATTGCTTCCTCAAAACCAAAAATATGCTGCGGTTTTCGTTTGTTTTGTTTGTTCAAAATGACATGAGTTTTTCTCCAATTCGTTTCATATTTCAAAATACACTAAGTCTTGTGATACTAGTACTGAATAAGTTAACATGTGGTTATATGTGAGGAACATGATAATAACATGCAGATAGCTGGGATATGTTGTTTGCATAATGTTTCTAACATAGTTCTGATAGTTAACCAAACGTTTTTTTTTTCATTTTCATCTAACTCCTTAACACGTGTCAACTTCAAATCTTTTAAATGGACAGTGTGCATGACATAATGATACGAGTCTTAAACATAAAAACTATCAAGTATCGACATATGTGTGACGAGCTGGCAATATATAAAGTACATTCTACCAACAAGTCGGGGTTTACTGAGAAGGTATGTCAATTTAACACAGAAGTATTGCGACTACGAGCATGGTACACTAATTAAACATTAACAAATAACAAACAAACAAACACACGTATTATACACGTGTTGTATATGTGTTGTGTGATATGAACTCAATGTGATGTGCCGATAATCGAGTGGAATGACATATACCGATGAGCATTGAATCTACAACGTTGTCACAGCGAGTAACACTACGATAAAGTATTTCCGTTTTCGACTATGTAATGTTGAGTCGTTTTTATGCAGAAAATACAGTAAAATTTATTTTTATTGGGGTTATTTTATATACATGATCGCTTGAACACTAACATAGTTTGTAATTTCATTCAGCTTTCCTCAGTAATAATTCAAGACAAATAAAATGTAAAAATATAGAGAATTATTTGTTAATATAATAGTATTGTGCACATTATTCTTAATATATATCTAAATTTGTTTTTCAAAATGATCGGTTGTTTTTGGGTTTCCCCTTCCAAAAAATGAAGGAATTTCACATTGTCGTAAACGAAAATGTGTTTATCGTAGTGTTGATTGATACTGTGGGTGTGGTTCTATGGCCCTTCAAACTAGTAATACTGTAAAATTAGAAAAATGCAACATACAATTCATACATGCTCAAATTTTAATTCTGAAATCCCCAAAGAAGATATGGGTTCAATAAACGAGTTACATTACATTATCAATATGCTGCGTGGTTGATTTTCACAATTTACACCCTTTCGCTGTCAGTCAAATGTTATGTATGAATAATCAGTCTATTTGTTTCATGTCAGTATTGGTTTTCACTGGATTAATACATTGATAGAACAATATGCTTTTAATCCGTCATTCAATATGTATCTCAAATGATATACAGATGTTGATTCACACATCTGTTTTGTGTGTCTTCTACTAGAGTTTATGTAGTCACTGTTATAAATCTCGAATTGGCAGTTAGATTTACGAAAATCATAACATGCGAATATTAATTTCATTTGTTTATGAAATAATTTCACTCAGTTGCAATATTTCGATAGAGGAGCATACAATGCTGGAAGGAACAATGACGAAATAATTCTTTATCGAAGCGTGGCTGAAACTATTCCGTAAGGGCAGATGCGAAAGACACTGATTCAAGTTACCCTCCAGACGTGCTTGCAGTCTGTTGCGATTCCGATGAAAAATTTTTGAAAAAATAAAATTAATATAAATTGCGTAAACGAGAGGTGAACGCGAAAGTCGTGTGACCGCGAAATCCCAACATGTCGTTTACGCAATTTATATTTATATTTCAAGACTTTTTCATCGGAATCGCAACAGACTTGCAAGCAAGTCTAGTTACCCTCTTGTAGGTATAAGCATTCTTCAACGTCATGGCGATCAAATATATATAAATGAATGAAAAATGTAAAATGGTTTGAAAGCAAAGTACTGCCATCGCAAAACTTAAGTGTAATTCGATAATGCTGTAATAGGTGTAATGTCGAACTAATACTGATAGGATATTAAAAATAGTCTGTAGTATTTATTTACCTGTCGGAGAGGGAAAACAATCATTGAAGACTTAATATTAAAATTCGTGAATGCAATTACGCGACAGCATACAATCAGTTGGCCTAGGTATTATGGATTCAACGTGTAAAGCAATGCTAAATTTCAAATTTTCTGTACAATCTCAGACTAGTAATACATGTATTACTAGTCTGAGGTACAATTTATGAACGATCCAAAACGCCATATTGGATGGAGGTCGATTTTATAACGGGTATGGCATTGTGGGTAGTCCATTATTGTTATTATGTTATTGCATCAATATATGTTTTTATCATAAAACCAATATTGACATAGAGTTTAATTTGGGCTTTCAGAAAGAATACAATTATATCAGTCGACCCTTTTCCGTGCACCAAATGTGTCATTGCTTGGTTATTGTATGAAATAAAACGTTGTGTTAAATATTGGTTGGAATAAATTCCAGATGTCACAGAAAAATGATATAAAGTATTTGAAGACAGGTCGTGTTTTAGAAAATATGTTAATAGTATGTAATTTACAAGAAGTGTGAAAAAAACAAACAGCGACTGATGTTTTGTTCTTAATTTCACGAAATTTTGTATTTAAATGTGAAGTTTGTCCGATGGATAACATAGATTCGTATTTGCATAATATCTTTGTTCTGCACACTATTTACCCATTGAATGTGACAGAAAATATGCAGTAGACACAAACAATCTTTTCGTAGATTTTAACATTATGAACATTTTCACTTGATTCAGAATTCAGCCAATCATCTATTTATTACATGGAACTATTTTTGGCGAAAGCATCGTCTGTTTGGTTTTGCACTGGAAATATGCCACTACGTGAATGTGCCTTATTTTTCTTTTATGTCCTCTCCAACATATCACGTGGTAGCATAAGCAGCATCCAGTGGGGGTGATAATGATCTACTCAAACACGTATATGTTCAATATCTCTATGATAATCGCTATGATATGATAATTGTGGCGCCTCTTAGTCTGGGAATATTGATGGATAGTTGCAATGTTTTGATTTAGCTTTAGTTTTGATAAGCAATACTGTTTCTGTATAACAATGTTGTTGACAAAGCCATGTACAACGCAACATTGCCTAGCATTGTCTTGTTGACAGTATTGGCAAACTAGGGAGTGGCGTGTGTTCTAAATTGTGGTAATATATCAACTACTACAACATACCGGAGACCAGACCCGGGGAGGGGTACATAGAACTTGCCTAATGGAGACGTGCCCCTGAAATGGGTCTCGTTTTGTTTTTTTTTAGGTATAAGTATCGGTCTTATTTCTGGTCAAAATAGATATATCAGTAATGTTTTTCCGATTTGGTATACTTATGGGTCCGGATATGAGCGAATATTTCCACCTCAGATCCATAGGTAACTGTTTTATTTGGAATAAACAGTGATGAATGAAGTGTTACTTTGGTATAAATATGGGTATAGATTTTGCCATTATCCAGGTATAAAAATGGTCGCACTTTTGAGCACTCAGGAGCACCACCCTACCTAGCTATGTATCAACCCGGGGGGCATCGTATGTGTGTGTTTCTATGCTCCGGGAGAGACTATTAAAGTAAGCATTGAAGTATATCGGGGAAGGTAGTTATCGCCTTATGGGAATGTGGTAACACACATAAGGTTGCATGCAGCTAAATTGTGCTAAATTGTCAAATTACTGGCGAAAAATTCATGGAAACATTTAAACAAGGTAAATGACAAACAAAATGACAGTATGAAAGATAACACTATCAAGTACAGTAGTTCAGCATGTAGTGGATTCTAACATGTCTATGTCAACAGATTAAGAAATTATATTTAGCAGCGGAGTTGTCCAGCGACCATGGCGAAGCAAATGGGCCATTGGGACGGAAACCCAAAATGCACGTTTTCAAACCAGCCACACGTGAAATTGAGACACAAAGAGATTATCTTTACATTTTACCAAATATATCAGTACCCGGACGGGAATATAAAGTCCAATTCGAGCAAGGTTCTCTCTCTGGTGAAGGACTGGAATGATCTACCAGTTTAACTCACGGAAATACTAAATCAACGAAATCATGGTTTGTGATAGACACGTGGGGGAAACGATTCAGACTGGCTGGATAAGTGTTCACGCACACAATATGCATAATTAGTAGAACGCTGGATACATAATTCAATTGCGTGAATGTTTTAAGTTCAGATTACTAAAGACCCTGTATTTTTGGACAGCGCCCCCACGTAAAGAGCACACTTGCTTACTGCCTACTAAACTGGAGTAACTGTCAATGAACTGGGAATACAACAATTCACTTAACATCTTCTATATTATTCGTCATCTTTTTGCAAATAACATTTTCTCAGGACAAGTAGATGAATTATTTTTTGCTATCAAGGGCTTCATTTTTGTCATACAACGCCAACAAACCTCAGCCATACTTCTTGTACGACAAAGTTAAGCAGAGTTCTAAGCACATTATTGAATGTGACATGGGCCTCATTTTTATCTTAGTACATGGAAGAGCAGTAGCTCTGAAACATATTTTTATTACATTCAGGCAATGAGCGAATCTCGGAATTGTAATTCATTGGATCTTGCTAAGTTAAAAATTACACCTTAATTCATGCAGACTTGTTATGGCTGAAAATGATATCGTGGGTCGTTTTGTGTAAACAGCAGCCACCAACCAATCTGTGTTATCCATTGATAAGTGTGGATATAAGAACAATGTGGTCAGTTTAAATTAGATGATTAATAACTGACCACTCAAACTGTTCTTATGTACAGTACATTACAAGTACACTCTGATTTAGAACAGCCCTGTCTTACAGAAAAAATAAATAAATATATTTATACCAGATTAAAATCACCCTAACAATGCAAGAGATTAAGAACATACAAATACACGGCTGTTATCGTTGAACCCAATCTGATGGTCACTGGTTTGTGAGAATAGTTAACATCTGAGAAAAACTAATAATTTCAAAT